AAGCCATGTAGTGATTCATGTATGTTTGTATTTTTTTTCCTTTGAAGTACCTTTAAAGAACTTACCTAGTGATAATGATATCATTAAGTTGAAACCAGCTCATGGCTGACCCTCCAACATGTTTTTAGTCAGTGAATCACTCAGGAGGAGAGTACCCATCTTTTGTGGAGAAGCTGGTGATTTGAACCACGTGCCTGTGGGTTGATACTGCAACTTGTAAGCCACTAGAGTTCCCGCTATCAAATAGAGAAGAAAACAATATACAAGTGTTAAGATTTTTTAATATCTTGAGAAGAATGGGAATAACTAGATTGTTAAAGGTAACAATAGGAAGAGTTTTGGTGTTTGTAGGATGGAGTTGTTTGTTTTAGTTTGGTTTTTTTTTTTTTTAATTTGTTTAGTATATTTCTTGAAATTACTGTTAACTGTTAAGTCACCCTACAGCAAAACGGCACCACTGGATGAAATGCTACCTAGTTCTGTGCCACTCTAATCATTTGGAGATTAGTTTTCCTAGTCTTAGTCTGGAAGTTCCACTAAAACTTACTTCAAAACAATACATAGTCTCTCTGCATTGGGCATTAAAGCTAGTTTCCCACGTGGAAGGTGACACTTTATTACTGAACCACCACTGCCCCTTATGAAGACAGTTATTGTTTGCCACCAAGCCATGGCAATTTTATGTATGACAGAATGGTCTTTGGTATCCTCAACTCCATCGTTGAGGCCACAGTATAGTTTTTGTTGACTGAAGTAGGTAACCAAGACTGTTTTTCCTAGTATATCTTAGTCCAGAAGCTCTGCTGGAACCTTTCCACCGTGGCTGACCCTACCAACTTATGAAATACAGATGACATCGCTTCCAGCATGATGGCAGCCACTCACGTCATGAAAGTGCAGCATTTAAATTGAGTTTTCAGTGCAACAATGAATGAGTGGAAGCCCAAAATCTCTGTAAATGTTTATGAAAATTAATAAAATATAATTATAATTTTAAAAAAATTGAGTTTTCATAGGTAGGGATGACTAGATTTACCAGAAGATAAGGAATATCAAGACTAGAGGTTTTACATTTCCATTAAGAGGCAGGCAGAACCATCAAGCTAAGTAATTTAAACTGAGTGTTAACACTGATGGTCCCAATTACTGTGAAGTTGAGCAAATCATTTATATTTAGACCTGAGTTTCTTAACTTTGAAAATTGAAGATAGCGTTTGTTTAGTCCTGTCATGTTATACTTAAATGTTTTATTAAAAAACTAGGTATTATCTGACTTGCTTAACTGTATTGCAGAGAGATTAATGTGGCACCAATATGTGGGGGTTTTCGGTTTGAAAGCCCCTTTTTCTGGTTATCCCAACGACAGAAAGACACATTCTCATTTCATAAGAGATTTCAGCCTCAGAAACCTAAGGGAGAGTTACTATTTGATTGAGAAGTGGAATATCAGAAGACTCAGGAAAAACCAGATTTTTCACTTTATAACCATGTAGAGAGAGTTTCAGACCTGGTTGAATTTCCTAGATTTAGAAACCTTCCACCACCCTTGATACGGCTTATGAACTTCCTCCCCAAGGACTTTCATTTTAGTGTCCTTATTAGTTACTTGATTATTCATTTAAGACTATTTTTTTACTCTAGTAATAACTGAGTTTCCTTTGGTGTAGTGGCTTTAGTCTGAAAGATGTCTTGAAAGGAATTTATGGAAACTCAAATGTAACTACTTGGTTTCAATTTTAAGTCTTCGTCAGTGAGAGAAATAACCATCATTCTTTTTATTTTTTAATTATACTAGTTTATTTACCATCCTTACTTATTCTTTTATTGGGACATACGGGATTAAAATTGATATACCTAACAGTTTAGCAAGCATCTACTGAAAATGCTAGCTACCTTAAAATTTAACTGAAATGTGTTTTGTCTCTTTGAGTGGAACTCCTGGTGGCACAGTGGTTAAGTATTCAACTACTAGCAGTTTGAAAGTTGCTTATTTTGAACTACCATGAACTATGGGAGAAAAGTCCTGGTCCTCCTTACTCAGATTTCAGCCTAGGAAACTATGGGTATTACTCTGCTGTGTATAGTTGTTGTGGAGACTTAGATAGTAGTACTACTGTAATCTTTGTAAACAGTTGGGACTATCCAGCCACCCTATGGGAGAAGCATATCTTCTACTGCAAAAATTTACAGAAACAACAGTGGATTTAGTGAGGGTTTTTTGTAGGGTTACTGTGAATTGAAATTGTCTGCCACATATCAACAGATACTCGAGTTAAGAGTGGAGGAATATTTCTGAAAGATAATTTTTGTGTATCTTTTCAGATAAAATTACAGTGGAAATAGCAACAAGTTGGAATAGTCCGTAATCATCACAAGATGCATAGATAGAAACAATTGAAAGGCATGAAGTAAATTGATTTTTGAGATTTTTCTCTTGTAGGAATACTGTGTTTGGTATATTATATTGGGTTAAAGTCTGTATATTTGGTCTCTGGGTTTAGAAGGGGTCGTGGTACTAGGCATATTGTAGCTGATGTTAGATGGATCTTAGCTGAAAGCAGAGAATACCAGAAGAATGTCTATCTGTGTTTCATTGATTATGCAAAGGCATTTGACTGCGTGGATCATAACAAACTGTGGCTGACCCTGAGAAGAATGGGAATCCCAGAACATTTAATCGTGCTAATGTGAAACCTAGACTTGGACCAAGAGGCAGTCGTCAGAACAGAGCAGGGCAACACTGCATGGTTCAAAATTGGGCGATTGGCTGGGCTCTATGAGGAGAAGCGTGGCGTTAGGATTGGTGGACGATCTATCAACAGTCTGCGTTATGCAGATGACACAACCCTGCTCGCTGAAACTGAGGAGGACCTCATATACTTACTGCAGAGGGTCAAGGACTGCAGCCTTCACTATGGACTGAGGCTCAGTGTCAAGAAGACAAAGATTCTCACCACTGGACCAATTGGTAGCATCAGGATGGATGGCGAAGAGATTGAGATTGTTCACAGCTTCAGTTTGCTCAGCTCCATGGTCAACACTCTTGGCACCAGCAGCCAGGAAATAAAAAAAACTTATTGTGATGGGAAAGTCTGCTGTTAGGGACCTCTCTAAAGTACTCAAGAGCAATGGTGTCTCTCTGGAGACTAAGGTGCGCCTGACACAGGTCATGGTTTTTGCAATCACTTGTTATGCATCAGAGAGTTGGACAATGACTAGGGAGGATAGAAGGAGAATTGACGCCTTTGAGCTGTGGTGTTGGAGAAGAGTATTGAATGTACCATGGACTGCCAAGAAAACAGATTCATCGTAGAGAGGGTTAAACCAGGCTGCTCCTTGGAGGCAAGGATTCTGGGGCTTTGTCTGACATACTTTGATGTTGTAAGAAGAGACAGGTCTTTAGAGAGGGACATAATGCTGGGTAGAGTGGAGGGACAGCGCGGGAGGGGAAGACCCTCTATGAGGTGGATTGATTGAATGACTGGGGTACTCGGGATGGGTTTGTCAAAGGCAATGAGATTGGCACAGATAGAGCAGGGTTTAGGGCTGTTGTACATAGGGTCGCTATGAGTCACAAATGACTCGACGGCACATAACAACATCATCTTTGGGAGTAATATGTGGAGTCACAAATGACTCGACGGCACATAACAACATCATCTTTGGGAGTAATATGTGGAGGTCATAATATAGATGTTGATTGTAGTTTTTTTATATTGTTAAACTTGGGCAATAGTGTCATTTTTAAATTTTTTTAATATTTTTAAGGAAAAGAATAAGCCTCCAGCTTCACTTTAGCTCTTTCTGATTAAGCTTCTACTTCTGCCTCTTTTGAGCCATTTTTAAATTGAAAGGCTGAGTTTAGTTTGTCAGACAATAGGAAATTGCCATTTTTGTAATATGGAAAAATTTAATATCAGCAGTTTCGATGGATCTTACTTTGTGGTATATTATTTTCTTGCTGAATTATGAGTAGTATTTAATCAATATTTATGTATCAAGTACCATTTGAAGCAGTACCATGTGAACAAATACATGAAAATAGTGTTTATATCACTTGGAAATTCAGTCTAGTAGGGATTTGTGATAAGATCTGTAGAAAATGGCATAAAATACAATTGGAATATAAAGAAGTCCCTGAGGTGGTGGAATACTGTACTGTAGTTGGTGAGTACACTTTATATACTAAGAGATTTAAGAATAGTTGAGGGGAATAGTATAGTATTAAGGATTGCCAGTAGTGTTCTTTCAAGGGAAGTGAGTAGTATAAATTATAGATCTTATTTTACTGTGATTCCTTAAATAGGATTTTCTCCTTTAATCATGTATTGAATAACCAAAGTCTAATTTTGGCATTTGGTAGTTAGTCTTATTTTTAAACAAGATTCAAATATTATTCCTTTCTGTGAAACTTGATTTCACACTTCTAGGTAGAAAAGGTCCTTACTACCCTCCCACTTGGTATGTTGCTCTGCTAATTTGGTCATGTACGATTTCTCTTTTTTTAAGATGCCAGAGTAAACTAATAAACATTTTGTATAGACAGTTAAGTTTTAAATGAAATTGGAATGAGGATTGTTATTAATAAATGGGTATAGGTTGACATTTTTGCCATTTGGGTTAATACAGGAATAGTCATAGTTTGTCAACTACTGTAGCTCAGGGCTAAATGAAGTTTTAATATGGCATTTTAAACATTAATCAGATTTGATGGGCTTCATTCAGCAGATTTGTTAACAAATACTTGGTTGGGGATTCTTTATGTACATAATGGCGAGATAAGATTTTATTTATAACAGAATTGTTCTGACAATTTTATTTCAAAAATAATTAATTCACTATTAATACTTAAGATAAAATAGATTAAACTTTTAAGAATAATCAGAAAATATGGATTTTGTTGGTGTTTCATTTTCATAGAACTGTATCATTTCAAACATGGCTTCAAACTCAGTTCTTCAAACCTTATTATGAAATAATACTTTTTCTCTGTCTTGCAGAAATGGAATCTGTTTGGAATTTGCAGAAGCAAGGTAAGAACAACAGACCAGTGATTTAACTTACCAGATACACCACAGACTTTATTTTTAGTTCTTTTTAAGTACAATCAAAAGTCTATAGTTAACCAGCCAGCTATTTACATCTAGTTACTTTAACAGTACCACTAAGGACAGGGTACCCCTGAAGGTATCTACCTCAAAAACATGAGTTTGAAGGGGTTTTTTTCTGTTTTTCTGATTATGAAAGAAATACAGTCCATACATATAAGTTCAGAAAAATGCTAGCTGTTACAGAAACATTTATCTTCACTGTATAAGTACTGGATAAACTCATGTTTGGGTTATTTGTCATTTTTAAAAATTAAGTGGTTATCTGATTAATATACTGTTGTTTCCAGATACGTATTATGGTAATTTTTTAAAAGTGCTGGTTTTGATTTGTTGAGCTGTTCATAATTTTCCAGAATCTAGTTACTGAATTATATTTTGACTCTACATTAACTTTGCATAAGTGAACTTCAGGTAATGTTTTAGATGTTAGAAAGTAAGACTTCAGAATAATTTTTCAGTTTGATCTTATAGATTAGAAATGTGAGGACCAGAGACGTTACTGTGGCATTTCTAGGATGTAGGATCTACTGGATTCTCTCAGCATTGCTCTTTGACTTGCCTCAGCCTTGTTATTGGGCCAGGTCTTTATTATCTATGGCTGTGGCCTGAAGATAACTAGCAAACTAAGTTGTTTTCTGGATTTTTAAAAAAATACTTTCCTATTAAATCACAACACCAAGATGAGAAAATATACTTGGCAAAGTTTAAGTCTTCTTGGTTTTTATTGTTAAATGACTATTAATTGTTAAGAATGAGGATTATTTCTATAGCAGGTTGTCAGTGAGTGGTCCTTAGAGTTCTAGAAACAATAACACATTTTTCCAGACCAAATGGTCTTAATGCTAGAAATTATGTGTGCAAGAAATTATTGCTTTTCTGGAAGTAAAGAGGAGGCTTAAATAGTAAGACTTTGGCAGATAAGTTGATTAGCATTGACTTAATAGTTCAGCCAAACTAACCTAAAGTTTTTGCTGTTAGGTTTGTAGCTGGTCCATGTCCTTGCTAGGCAATTCACAGTCATTGAAACAAAGTTTGGTTTCATTTTGATGAGAAAAAGAAAAATAATACCCAATTATTTGTTCACTTCCACATGTAATCAGAATAAAGAGCCTTAATTAAACTCTGCCATCTGTAGACAAGATTGTCAGTGATTAGAGAGCACTGCTAGTGTGAATCTTTTGAAATATTGACATTTACTTTAGGGCTGAGAAATTGTTAATGTGAATTATTATTCCCTTTAATTATCTTCTAAAGAAGATCTCATTTAAGTAAATAAGGGTGGTTACTAGGGATTTAGGGTCGGGGAGTTGAGGGCATTTTGTGAGGTAGACTCTATTTTTATTATCCCCTTCCTTTTTTTTTTTTAACCTCTAGATCCCAAAAGGATAATCACTTACAATGAAGCCATGGATAGTCCAGATCAATGAAGGTAGCAGGACCAGACTGCCTATTCGTAACCTTTCTGCAGCATTAAGAGCCACTGTTCATGGGGGACGCAAGGCTTTTATGCTCCTAGATCTTCGCAGCAGAGGAACCATAAGTAGAATCACAGGATAATATATACAAATATATATAGTTATTTTAAAAAAAGGCAACTGAAAGTAATTAGATTTCTTAAGGAATCAAAAATTATTTCAAGAGACTACACATGGTTATTTAATCTCCAGTACTGAATAGTTCCCCCGCCCTTTTGTTAGATTTTGTTTTTAAAGAGTGAATGCAAGTGATTAATGAATACAGACTTAACACGCGTGGTTCTAAAGTTCCTGCTGTCATCAACTTGGGCAACATATATGACCCACTGGAAAGGCAAATCCACTTAAAAGATCTCTGTCTTGTTCTGTGACTAAAGTGATACACTAATCAC